ATTCTTCTGCTGCTCTCGGAACAGCAATGATCACACGATGGATCAAAGTCGGATCGCTCGAGGTCGAAGGTAGTGAGATGCTGAGAGGGAGGCTGGAGTGTAGCGGAGTTCATCTAGGGTCGAAGTTGCTGGTGGACCCGAGTTACGCCGCGCGTCGTACCGAGCATCTACTGGCACTGTGACAGCTCAGTACCTCCAGCGCGGCTTCTCACGGACTACAGGCACGCAGAAGGATTCCCGTACTGGATCGGAATACTCGGGTGAAAATCTGATGATCTGACAGGTCCTGATTTGTTAAACCTGGGTTTGTTCGTAGATGCTCGATCCCCCAAGCGAAATCCTGAAAATGGTGAGAATAGTTGCTCGCCGAGAGATGTAGCTGTCATAATCGGCCGAGATGAGATAGAGAGAGAAAGTTCAGCGAAAGCTGAGGGAAAGATGTTAGGCCGGTCGGTTCTCGGGATGACGGGGTCCTCGGGTAAAAGCCTCTATTGCTTCAAAACTGTCCAGTAGCGCATAAATCGGTCTCGGTATTGACACTATAGGAGTTGACGATATGCACTCGACACAGCTGTGATGCTGAGCGCATCCTTTCATTAGTGAAGATGAAGTATTGTCATTCCAGGTCTGCGTCGTACCCGAAGTATGGTAGACGTGGTCGAGGTAGCGAGGATGGCATGGTTCTCCCCGACTTCTGGCCCCGTGATGACAGCTCAGCTGAAGATGAGCAACATGCTGAAGGTTCAATTTTCCTCCCGTAACTATATACCTATACACTTCTGTGCTCAGATGCGGGAAGCGCAGCTGAGACGGACGGGGCGGAGTCTATGCCTAAGCCGTACGAACTAGACGCGTTTCATACGGCTTCTGAGGGTATCTCCGCAGTGGCCGCAGCTGTGCTTTGGCAGGACTCCACGATCTCCACACGGGCTTGATTTTGATTTGGATCTTGACGGAACATCAGACGGTTCAGCTCCAAGTCCGAGGCAAAATCCGCGTACTAATCACTGCAAGATCGTCCATCTTGATGACCCGCCTGATAGGCTCATTCCGAGGTCGATCTGGCAGACCCAACCTCCCATGGCTGTCTTTGCCGAGCTCTCGAGGCAGCTCCCCTCAATTGAGCAGTGTTAGCAGGAATGAGTAGGAGCATCATGATGGAAAAATTATTCTACCGACTGATTGAGTGGTCGCTTATCTCAGGTCTAAGCAGCGGCGCACTCCACAGGCGAGAAGAGACTCCGCTGCTTCACCAGACGTTGTTGCCGGACATCTACCTGCAGGTCAGTCGAAAATGATTTTTTGTGTGAAACTCTCACAGTGAGAGCCTTGGTTTTCTGGTTTCCATTTTCCCTCCGTGTCTCATTCCTCAGACTCAAGCACTGGCCAGACTCCTCTAGTTAGTCAAGACCGTGCAGCAGGAGCAACAACGCGTCCCGCTAGGCGTTCGTCATTGTCATCGGTGTCGACTATTCCGAAAATTCCGCTTGGCGATACGCCTTTCAGCCCTCAAGCTGAGGGTACGAGCATACGGCCAATGGGTTCTGCGAAATCACGAAATTCTGTTATCCCTCTTACTGATCGGACTCAAGAGCGTAGGGGAAAACTACATCACGCCGCGGTGGCTGCAGAAAACGAAGAATGTACATTTCGGCCGCAAATCTGTGCGAAGAGTCGGAGGCTGGTCGCACAGAGGAAGACGGAGCTTGGGTTACGTCAGCGTGCAAGTATTATTCTGCAGCAGGAGGGGAAAGAGAGCGAGCAGGTTCCGATGCGCTACAGTGAGTGTCCCTTACCCTCATCATATATTGCGGATGAAGAGCTCGAGGAACCTCATATACCCACTTCAAGGATATCAATTGCCCAGCTAAGAGCTGTTCTATCATCCAGCTTACAGAACAAAGGCCCACGGAATCGTGCGAGAGGAAATCCCACCACCACTTGTATAGGTTGAAGAAGTTGATTCGTTATCGAAGTGCATGCTGAAATGCAGTCCCTCCTCGCGAAGTGTGATTGCGTTGGTGAAGTACATAGTTATCTCGTCGGAACATCACTCCAGCCTCAATGGGGCACTTACTTCGACTCAATGATTACTCCATGTACTGTAGCCAAGTCTTACCGTATATTGGGAACATATGATGAATGGAGGATTGTGCCAGGAAGGAATGCGGTGGACGGACTTCAATCGGTGTATTTTTAGCAACAATATTTATTATCCCAGCACATTTATCAGGCTACACAATGGTCGCCCGTTGTGCCCTTATGCACTAAAACCTCGCTGTGATTGACTTATAACACCAAATAGAGTGTTACTATTTAAGGGGTAGACTGAATACAACAGCAGCAAAGAAACTTTTCACTAACCATAGCTGGAAGAAGGGACAGATTGAGCATACAGGTTACATAGTAACACATCTATTGGACGATAGAGTGATAAGCAATCCGATCACGCATAACATGACACAGGCTGCTTTGTGGAACAGTCTCTGTATGCCCTATGCCCTGTATGCCCGTCGGTGGAATTACCTTCTCCAATTGACATCCTTCCTGCCTCGTCTTTTTCCTCCAGTTCTTCTCTCCCTTCCTAACATTCTATTCCTAACATTCCTCCGTTTTCTTCTTCTTCTCCTTCTTCGTTTTCTTCTTCTTCTTCTCTTTCACCTGCTTCATCTCCTGCCGTTAACCCATCGCCCGTTAGTCGACCTGCTACTACTACTGCTGAATCTTCCACGGTAGGGAATTTGCTCATCCCCGATGTTGCATGTTCATCAACCGGTGGTAATAGTGATAGTAGTAGCAGCGCGGTCTTGGCCACAGAGCTGCCAGACATGTATAGCCAATATGACCTGGACGCGTTTCTTATCCGCGTCCGGCCAGAGGTGATCCTCCACTTCTCAATGTTGTGGTGGACCCTCGATGTTAGGCGTAACCGGTTTAGAGATCTACCCTCTCATCTCATTGGTTTAGCATCCGCCCCTTGCGGTTTATTTGTGGAGGATACCTTCCCGAAAGACTCGTTTTGTGATTATCTAAGATCTTCGGTCTGACGATCTTCCCTAATCCGAACGAAAATTCGGTGATCTCCGGGGTTTTTAACTGCGATTCAAGGGTGATCTATGATGCTCTGCAACATTGTAGTTATTTTTCTCTCCAACATGATGGGTCTTTGTATATGGCGATGTATGGTATGAAGATCAAGCTTCGTCCGTCTTTATTGTATAATATTTCTTCTTACGCGGTTGGTGATGCTGTTCGTGAAGGAGAGACAATTTACGATCTCGGGCTAACAGTTTCTACATATCGTATCTGGCTCTTTCGCCACTCACTATCGAGTAAGCGTTATTTTCGTGTGTTGGATAAACTTGGTGGTTTAGATTTCGGTACTGTACAATTTGCTACCTCGTTCAAAGATCGTGAAGCAGGCATGCCTTTGATCGACATCGAGCATACCTTCTATCTGAGGTTGCGTCATGTGATCAAGGCTCATGCCAGGGTGAAGTTTTCTGTCTCTACTTCCCGTGCTTCATTTCGCTCTTTACTTGATAACCTCCGGCATCTTTATGCCCGTCTTGACCGTCTCAATCCCGAGGACGTAGGAGGTTATCGTATTGAGTTACGATTTCGCGTGCGACAGTGTTCTACTCCTTCGATTAGCCAGGCTATTCAATGGCTTTTAAATCGTAACAAGTTTAGTCTCGATTCTTATCCCGACCTTTCTTTTACGATTGTCGATTATGAGGATTACTTGAATTTGGTCGATTATTCTTTACTTGTAGCAGAGAAACTAAAGTTGGCTGTCGGTGACAACAATTCCAAGTTGCCGACAAGTCTTCACTATTACTCTGCCTATTTGATCAATTTATTTGGCGAGACCAATCCTCACGCTCAGCCTTTATTTGATAAAGGGAGAGAGGCTTTCTTGTATTTCTCTCAACTCTACCGTCAACAGTTAGAGTTTGGGACTTTAAGGAGTTCTGTAGGTAGCAGTTCGGAATTAGAGGCAGTGTCCGATGATAGTGTTCCCATTCCGGATCGTCAGGCGCGTCTTTTAGAACCGTCTGACGAGGACACCAGTTATGGCGGTATTCGCTTGACAGATGAGTTAGTGCGACAGTTGTACAGGCAAGTTGCCTGGAGACGTCCTTTCTCTCGTAAGAAGGACAAGACTGGAACACTTTCTTACTCGGTCAAAAAGGGCTGCCTCCCTGCAGGCGCTAAAGCCCCTGGTACTTTCAACACCTACGCTTCTGCGATGAAAGACATCTTGTCTCAATTCAAAGAAAGTTGGATTACCAACGTAGTGTTGACTACAAGTACCGCTGCGAAACGTCAGGTCTTTCACGATGTAGGCTTCGGTTTTAGCGCCAGCATATTGCAACCTTCTCATGAATACCGCAATATGCCCGCTAGAACTACCGCCTATCTTCCGACCTACTGGATAGAAATCGACAAGTCTGGCCTCTTCTTGTGATCAGATGCGGGTAAACAGTTCAAACTAGTGAACGTCAAAGGTGACGGGAACTGCTTGTTCTATGCCGCTTGCGTTTCTTTACGTCCGTTGCGAGGAAAACTTCCAAAGCAACTCCGTGATAGTGACCAGGAAAAGAAACCCTCTGTCTTGCGTGAATTGGTTTGCAACCACCTTCAAGATCATCCGCCTACGGAGGATGCTTGGAGGAATCATCTTGCTGCCGATAACGTGCAAGCAGACTTCCGAACGCGTGGTTTACCTCTCGACGCCAGTTGGCAACAGTATGTCAATGACATGCGATCGCCACGACGTCGGGGTGGTTATGCGGAGATAGAAGCAATCGGTAAAGTGCTTAGGAGGAAGGTAATGGTTCTGCAACGTAAACGACCGCACTCCCTGGAGCTGCGTCATACATACGTTGTCGAATCGGATTCAACTACTGAACCCCTATGTCTTTTTTACGATGGCTTATCTCACTATGGAGGTCTCCTGGAAAGCACTTAGGTTGTTTCTTTCTCGCGACTGTGCCGTGATCCACGCAGATTTTTGAACGTAAGTTTTGTATTATATTTGTATATATTCATGTCTGTACGTGAACAGTACCAAATCTAACCACCTCGTTTTATTGTTGTTCCTTAACTCCTCCTATCTGGTGTTACAATCAATTAATTATCGGGGAAAGTGGAATTTTCGGGGGAAGTGGATGATCGGGGGAAGTGGAATAATCGGGGGAAGTGGAACTACGACGATAAAAGGTCCATGTTCGCTCGTTTCAAAGGTGGATCGTATAAGGATCATTTTACCTCAACTGGTTAGGTACATGTCCTATCAAGCGGAAGATCCCAGGTTTATAGATGGGCAGCGTAACGTTTTTTTACGGTTCACGTTACGGCGTGCGTAACGTAAGCACTTTACGGTTACGGAAATGCCTTACGACTTTACGGTTGGTGCTGAACTGCTTTTTCAGAATTGTGGTAGAGGGATTCGCTGTAATGCACTTTACGATAGCTCAAATAGTTGCTAAACTCGTATTTTGTAGCTCGAATTCAACGGAACCGATGAGAGAGTAACATTTGGTTTCGCATTTGCCACTCGTCTCATTTGCAAATTCCGTCCGTCTTACTCGCAGGCTGGCCCGGAACGGCCAAGCTGGCCTCATCCACGGATTCGCATTCACATGGAATAGATTTAGGCGACATGAATGATCAATCCTCGTTTTGCCTTCTGCATCTCCGTAAGACCCGTTACGGCGCCGTAATTTTACGGTACGGGGCTTGAAGCGTAACCGTAAAAGTGAACCGTAACGGTCCGTAACGTGATTCTGCCCATCTATACCCAGGTTCGACCCCCGGACACAGGTAATTTTTGACATTAATTTTTTTCCGATCCTTCCTACTCTCCCCACCCTCCTACTTGAAATTAATATATCTCTCTAACTATTCAATTAATACACATGATTTTCCACCTACAGATACTTCAGGACTTGAGGAACATTATGATATAAAAAAAGTTGGAATCTATACGCACAGGTGGGTACTGTATAACCTGCACGACGGGCTCAAGATGTATCGATATTCACGCCTAGGGAATAGCAATAGGCGCCAGCTACCATCAGCATATATGAGTATTGAGCAAAATTCCGACACCTCATGAGGCAGTCCTGGTCAGCAACTGGGACAGAGAAGTCAATCACGCCTTCGTAATCCGTCATGTTCAAATCCTCTGACCGCGAGAATGCAGAGACTGACACCAACAATCGGTGGTGTCAGTCGAGCCTCTTGACTGACACCATTCTCGTAATGGGCCAACGGGGAGGCAAAAGAATCAATGAAATCGGGACCGCAGTTGTAATAAGTAATAATGCGCACACAGACTAAGGCTGATCCTATAATCAGCTAGGGTGGAGGTCTTACAATGTCTCAATAGTTGTCGCGAGTTAGACATGGCAGGCCAAACACATCAGATGAAAAGTCGTCCAACTGTCTACGTCTCTGGTAGCTAACTACTGCTCCACTGAGAACGTTACCGAGATTCGCAAGCCAGCACTGCGAACAAGTCAACGACGAAGTTTTCACCCTCATTCTATCTAGAGACTTGAAAAGTTTGACGGCTCACAATCATTACGGAAGTTGTGCGACAACGGATCTAGTCGACGCCGATATTAACCGGAGGGGACTCACTTGGATGCTGGCACAACTTCCCAATGCGTATCGAGTCTTTGGAAGACGTCCTTTCAGGTGTGACACTCTGAAAGATGGAGCGGTATACGTATGTCATCAATCGGCATGCTCGCGCTGAAGTCTTCTACTTTCTCTCCGGTAGCAGCGCCTGAGGCCAACAAAGATCTCCACCGCGAATTGAATAACCTTAACACAGCACCATACAACGTTGAAAGAATCGAGACAAGAATATAGCACCAAAGTCTAACGGGAGCACCATTCGTCGAAAGCTGGGTCATCGTAGACCGGGAGCCCGGAAATAATCGTCTCCGGACTGGACGGAAGGCATACGTCCTGAATTATCCGCCACAGAGAGTCAACCGTGCCGCCAACAAACAGCAGGATAATGTCCACCGATGCTCTGTCGATTCGAGCTAGATGTGGAAGGAGATTGACTAGCTTATTCGCTTCTACCAGTCACTCGAGCGTGCAACCACTGGACGATGACAGCATCGCTAGACTGGATCAGGAACACCATTCTGAAGCTCGCCATGAGTGACTGATAAGCTGGGAGGAACCAACCACTCCGATCATCATACAAGCTCGACTGGTACTCTATCTTGCTCGCATTATTTGAGTCACGCAGAGGATGGAAGTAGGACAGATGCAACCCTCCCCGAAAAACAGAAATGGGTGACAAGCTCGGGCACAGTCATCACTGCATCGATCGCCATCATTAGCGACAACAGCCAACGAACAATGACAATACAACAATATCGACGCTCAGTGACAAACGAAATAGTAGACTTACAGGAGAATGGACAAACGGAGAGCTACGAGACAAAGATGACAAGATGAACGCTCCCCGCAGGTTTTCAACTCAGCTCTGATAACGGCTCGCTTCGCACTCAGCTGCGTTCACAAATCCATAACGTATCAGGAAAATAGTTGAGGTATACAAGAGGTGCCAAACCGGCGCGGCTGAGGCGAGATACGAAACTAGAGAGCTGAAAAACTTTAATAGAAGACTATACCATACTAGTAGTGCCACGACTAGAAGACAAAACGCACGAGTCCAGGGTCGGAAAGCAACGCGTAATTTTCTAGTCGAGTGAGATACAACGCAGCTTCGGACCACTATTTCAACTATCAAAAAGTCAACAAGAACTTCCTAAGGCGTGCAGGCAAAATCTAGAAGGCTTAGAGGAGTTGATGTGACCTCTGGATTACCTAGTACACGAGTAGGAGATAACCGGTAAGCTGCATCGTTGAGGGTTTAATCGAATGATACATATGGAAATGTACATTAGTATAGGCCTCTTGTAGACTTGGACAACTGATCAGCAGACTGCGATAGAACAGTCGTACTAACGTTCTCAGCCAGATCAGTTGTAATCGCGCAATACTAGTCCGGCATTAGCCTGACAACCGGGACGATACGTCAGCATCATAATCAAAACCCATAATCAACCGATCATCGTGGCTGGCGCGAATACAACCAACAACAGCAGTGATCAACAAAGAGATGTTGTGTTCGCCTCTGTGGGGAGGGAACACTGACAAACTTACCAAAAACACGGATATCGCAACCGCGTTGGAGTCTCGAAGAACGCGCTCACCGAGGCATTCAAAGAAACTCATGATGGACAAATATCTACATAGAGATCAAAAAGCTGCTGTCATCACCGCTTGTGATAGCAGCACAGCAGCCAGCCAAACATTTCTGGCACAACACGTCACCGTCATTCGAGACAGTGTTATGGCAAGCAACGCACCGAGGGAGCTCTGTACCAGTAGCTGGTAGGGAAGGAGTGACAATCTTCGGCGCACCACGAACCATCTCGAAGGGTGATTTAGGGAGATTCCTCTCGAGCTCAGCCAGTTCCTCTTCAGGGTCAGATTCGATGATATCGCGAGTCAAATAAGAGGGCAGTAAATTAGCTGGAGAGGTCCCGAACTCGTCTCTCTGACAGAGTTCCTCTTCAACAGGATCAGAAGCCTTACAACAGTCAAACGTGGCGGCATGGCCAAAGTCGTAAGGAGTTGCCAGAGCGCTAGCTGAGCCTTGACTATCTTTAAAACGGCCGTCGAATGACACTTGGGAGCGCGGACTACTCTCTGCAATGGACGAGACAGTAGAGTCCGACTTTGGCGGTGATCTCAACTCGGCTTCGCCATGCGCGAAACTAAAAACAGATTCATCATTGTCATAGAAACAAATATTCCCCACCGGCATTTAGATCCATGACTACAGTTCCCACTCAACCACCATATGCACATAACGGTTTTCTCAGTCGCCCGGAGTTCCGCGGCCGAATGAGCATAGGTGCATGCAGAACCTTTTGTGCACTTACCTGAGGTCACACATACCAATAGCTAGCGGAGTAGTCTTGACACGACTATCACCTTGTCTATAAAGTCTGCAAAGACTAGTTTTCTTCAAGTTCGGCTGCTGCTGCAACTCCGACGTTGAGTGAGCAAAAAAGCACTTCGAACCATAATGACAACGGCCTTCCAAGAACAGGCTACACACCTGAATGCGTTTCCGAATTAATCGGTTCCCGAGGGCATAGGCCCGGCCCAAGAATAATACCTTCGTTTTTAGCAAGTGCTTGCTGAGGTCCACGGGCCGCATATTCTTGTTGTCGCTCCCTCCGTGTACCCCTCCCTTACCACAATTGTTGTTGCCATGCTTACGAGACGCTCTACTCGGTGGCTCCGTGGCCGACCTCCTCATTTCAGTGGCGGAAGGCGAGCTAAGCCCAGGGCTCAGTTTGCGGGGCGATTGTCCCAGGACGGACGATGACATTATTCAATAATCTCACGGAATACGGTATCGCTGAAAGAGGGATGTTCGTGAATCAATGCAGTGACACAGAAGAAAGCCGAAACACGCGACAGATACGACACAATGTCGGAACTAAAGCAAACTCGACGGAACCTATTTTATATGACTTCTGTTTACGACCCCGACCTCGCTCTCAGACAGCTAACGCACATTCTGGAAGTCGCAGAGCTTCGCTCCACTCAGCGAATGTAGCGCACGCCCGCATTTAAGAAGAGGTCCCTGGGGTCCATTTCACAAGGATTTCTGACTTAAGGCGCCTTAAGGTGCACCCTACGTTTAGGTGCGCCTAGTTAGGTGCCTTGCACCTAACGGCAAGTGATTTCATAAAAAATGCGCCTAACCCGCCTTACCCACCTAAACGTAAGGTGCACCTTACGAATCACTTTAGGTGCACCTAACAGCCCGATAAGTTACGGTATACCATGACTGCTCCTCCTCTACTTGCGGTGCTTCAGATCCTCCTTAAGCTCCCGATGACATAATGGAATCTTCACAGAGTGCGAGGAGAGCTTGAGAGTGTGAGACGCAAAAATGTCACAAAAACGATGGAGCGAAGCAGGATTTGCATACAATTTTTGTGGATCGCCACCTCTTTATTGCTCTGTTACGGCATAACTTCGTCTAACCGCGTGTTTAGCTTTGCGTGTACTGTGATGGCAGCGCGATGATTCAACTGGGAATGGGAGGGCGACCACTGTCTTGAACTATTCTTCGGGCAGTTTGTCTATAAATGAATCTGTCCTCGACCCTGGATAGAGCAGCGTTATGGCACATAGACACGCTGCAAAGGGTGATGCCGTTCATCGAGAGGGACATCCCTTTGGTGCCTGAAGCCCTGGAGCACATAGCATCAGAACTACGATCGACCTGTGAGCGGAGGGCTGTAATATTGTACAGAGCCCTTAGCTGGCTCTTGCCTCCCTTCTTGATCGTCCTCTACTGGTTTGCGAATTGCGATAACAGCGTGTTTGTACTGGTTTTCGTCCGGCCTGTCCTCGATGGTTGGCTCGCCCCGTACATAGGCAAGAAGCCGAAGAAGCCAGGAGACTCGGCCTTATCAGCACAGGAGCTTGTTCTCTTTGGAGTTGGTCTACACGTTATACAGCTAGTTTATTTGTGTCATACTGTATCGCTCTTGAGTAGTCCCTATGGATTCTGTAGTAACATATTCCTTTTCCTCGTTACAGGGTTCACTAGCTACTCCTATTGGGTAACCATCGTATTGTGTATCGTCAAGAACGCCATAATATCTATGGTGTCTATAGCACAGATCGCTGAGCTCGACACCATACATCAGGAGTACATATCGGCGTACTGGTGTAGTTGTGCTATTGTCTTGGCAGTCCTCACTCCGGTCCATCTTGAGACCATTGCTAGAATTGTGGCGGAACGGGAGGCTGATAGTTATAAATCCCACATGCATGACTTGCTACGGGCGAGTTTCGATGCTACTATCTGGGTGGACAACGATCTGCGGGTTGTCGGGGATTCCGATCCGCGGCTGGACTATGTCTTCTTGACGCCGATGTGTGGTAAATCTCTGCTGGACTTTGTGGAGGATGAGAGTGAACGCGAACGGTTCGAAGCGTATGCGGCTAAGTCGAGGGCATCGAGATCAACTACACTGTTTCATGCGACTTTTCGTACGGCAGCTGAGGAAGGCTGTCGGAACTTCGACGCTGATGTTTATATGACTTCCAAATATTCGTTGTGGTTGCAAGCTGGTCAACAGCATTTGATCGGACTCCGGCTCCGGGATAACCGATCAGAGCCAGGTTCGCCGAAGCAAGGCAACGTCAGCAACTTCCTCAGTGGCATCTCGGGTCAATGGGAATGCCCTGAGTGTCGCTGTGTTAACTTTGACAATGTCGATACGTGTATATTATGCGAGCGACCGCGAGGTGAGTTACTGGGCTCCTTGAATGAAGGCAGTTCGACATTTGGTCGGAGTTGTCATTCGAGTCATCAAGCTGCTAGTTCTACAAAAAGCTTTATCTTTGATACTATTTATGAGGACGAGGATGAAGAATATGAGGGTAATGATGACGTGGCTAACGGTCCTGATCAGTCGAAGGACCCCGGACTTGAGCAAGAGTAATGAGATTTTGTGATTAAATAGCACCTGTCCGTCGTTGGGATGCGCTGCTGACTGGAGGAAAGCTTTTCTATACCGTTACGTGGGATTGATCTGATTTCTCGATATGTCGTGTTGATTGGCACCACCAAAAGTGATTTTTCAGTAGTTTGGTTCGCCATCCTTGTGAGCAGCTCATGAGTTGAATCACCCGGTATGGCGGCGAGTCCTTCAGCAGTAGCTGCGTCACAGGCGAGAGGATGAAACGTCATAGCTTATATGTGGGGCGAATGTGTCCAATCGTGCAGTAAGTGTGTTTAGGTCTGGTCTAATCCAATCAAGACCAGCGAGTACACAACCTTCACGTCTCTGTTTGGAAACTTGTGGCACCAGTTGCACGCCCTCTAACATCTATCGCAGTTGTGCTGATCATAAGCCGACTATGCTTACACTGCTAGCTCCCGAACTGGGCGGAACGGACTAGGAGGATGCTTTCGAAGACTATGGGAGACACAGGCCCGATGCTGTTAAGAACTCGAGGGTGACGATGAGGTTGAATGCTGCTACAGTTGGAGAAGATTGCATGGTGAAGTTTGGTGGTGAGAAAGGTAGTGAAGCAGCGAAAGAGCGATGGACTTCTCTTCGTTCCTACGTTCCTTTCTAAGGTAGCAGAGAAATAAGGAAACTTAGCAGAGAAATAGTAACGAAGAGAGTGAACTTTTTTTGTACCGAATCGTGATGTTATACTTGATTCACTCGGTGCTGCCAGATTCTTCTCCCACTGGTGCTAAGGATCATTGTTATACCTGCATCTCTAACTTCGTCGAAAACCGTATTTCTCGCTTCACTTTATCTGATTCTTTGAGTGTCGTTGAGAAGGGTTGACTGCGCCGATTTTCTGTGTGGCACTGAGGCAGGTTAGTATGATATTAGCACGGTTGATCGCGTTGTAGTAATCATGGATAGGTGGTCATCGTGTCCAGCGTTGTTTGTTGAGGTCGAGGTTGCTTTCTCTGCAGTACATGAGACAACTGTAGGAGCTCAGTTACGCTATAGAGTTGTTCTTCGAATTTGATAGGGTTTTGTGAGAGGCGCTCTGTCCAGCCTATAGGCTACGGTATAGCATATGCAGCATACGATAAGCTTGTCTACTCTTGACTTTCGAGCATAGTGTGCTAATTTTCGCAGCGGACTCCACAATGCGGACATCCGTGTTTTGAACCAAACGATTCTGTAGAGGTCACTATATACTCGCTCGCCCTTCAACTAACTGGAGGGTGCATGCGGCCCAGTCGGCGAGTCCGAATGTTTGTTGCATGTCGAGGGTTCCCGGAGTCGCTAGGCATTGAGACAATCCGATGAACTTGAGCCAAATGGCTAGTGTGTTCCAATTTCAGTACAGCACACTGATCAAGAGGATCAATCCTCAGTTGAAAATTGGACGGTATAGGTGTGTAACGAAGTAAAACTCTCGGGGTCCGGAGGAGACTCGCACGCATGTGCAGCTGCCGAGGTCACCCTGCCGCGTCACGCGGTGGTCGAAGTCAGCCCAAGCGCTGAGGTTTCTAACGACCGTGAGGGAGTAGTCGTTCTTGCCCACTCTCCCGCCCTGGGGGAAGCGGGCTACGGACTTCGCTCTCTCGTTGTCCATCCCCCTTCCTGAGTGATCCGTTGGTACGCTCTCCTGCGCATAGTTTGAGGTGTTGCTAACGAACCCTTGGAACAGTTTTATGTGTACTAACATGATTAGAGGCAGCGGTGACACCTATCTGGTGTTACGATGCGCGCTGCGCACGATGCGGAACTTGAAGACATACGCACTGATACAGATAGCGTGCATAGCAACACAGACACACCTCGCATATACATACGTACAAAGTGACTGTATGGAGCTCATTCAGCGATCAGCTATCTTTTGGTCTGCACTATGAAACGAGCGGCTCCTCACACCAAGAGTGGCGATGCAGAGAAGCTGATCAAATATTATGAAGACCGGGCCATCAAGGAGCTTCGATTTACCGTCAATGGGACGTAAGCAAGCATATGTCTGACGACTCTTCAGGAGCACCCAATGTTATGCGTCAGAGCATCAAAACAACTGCTCACCCTATATTGTTCAGGCCTGTCCACGTGCAGAATATTGACCCGGAGTGCACTCTATTGGAGTGGCTGAGGGCATCTGGACTGTGTGGTGCCAAGTTGGTCTGTGGGGAAGGGGGGTGCGGTGCCTGCACGGTGTCTGTGTTCACTACCGACATCGTTACTGGCAAGGTCGGAGTTCTCGACTCCTTACGGATACCAATTCTCGGCATTTTGTAGGCCGTGCATCGATCTGTGAACTCGTGCCTAGTGTCCGTCTGCGATATGTCCGGGTGTGAAGTAACTACGATCGAGGGTGTCAAAGTGAGTCGATGAGACTATCCATGCAGTGGTGAGCGAATGTGATCTTGCAGGGCGATGATTGCGAGCCCAAGTGTGACGCGAGTGATAGCAGTACAAGGACCGGCACATGTAACTCGACAAGATATGGTAGGCCTCGCTCGCTATGCTACCTTGGAAGCCGTCATACGGAGTACTTTCTCGGCAGGGCCAGCAACCACTATGTTGCACCCAATCCAGAGAAGTCTGGTTGAGGCGCATGGCTCCCAGTGTGGCTACTGTACACCTGGAATGGTCATGAGCATTTACGCGAAATGGGTGGATGGGAAGAGACAAGTGAACCTTGGCAGTTACACAGGCTACTGAGTCAAGGTTTGGAAACCTGTTAGGTTCGAGATATCGAAGAATCTCTCGATGGAAACCTCTGTCGCTGTACTGGCTACCGACCCATCCTACAGGGCGTGTACAACTTGGTCGAATCTTCGCAGGGAGACGCGGAAGATACGCATAGGGTGAATTGGGAGCCAGACCGCCTCCAGAGAATAGGACTTGTTCCTGGAATGTCAATATTGTCTACTTAGGCTGTGAACCCCTTTCACGACGACTCACGCTGGAGTGGAATCTCCCTGAATACTACTACTACCAGGGACCAGACTCCTCAGTTCGACGAGCATTCGGAGGGGATCGCCAAAGACAAAGGGCTTCCCGGCAACCCTAATCGATCGATTATCCTGCGCGGATATCACCTCGGGCACTCCTGTGATTACTATCGGCCCACTTCTCTGCTTGAGATCTTGACTATCATCACATACGTTGGAAACTACAGGCAAGTTGAAAGCAATGTCATCACCCTCTGGAGTGGAGGTACCTAACCTGAATAGCAAGCAAGTCGTGTTCTCAGGCTTGCTGCCGGTCATTCTGAGCGAAGAATCGACAAATTTTTTCGAAACGATCATGCTTATCCTATGGCATTGATATCAACTTCCAGGGTAAACGAGAATTCCGGAAAGTGAAATTTGACGGTCGAGATCGCAGGTCAAGGGCGATATGAACTCGGTGAAGCTCGAGCGAAACGGCGATCATGCTACTATCGGGTCTGCCGTGTCGTTAACCACTTTGAAGGAGCTCATCCAAGAGGTGGAATACTGCGGATCCGACGTGTAGGTATCGGAATGACAATTTTGATCCGGGATGCTACCACGATTGTATTCTGGTCGTCTTGGGTCAGCCTCCGAGGGGTGGTTGCTATGCTTCGCCTTTTCGCATCTGAGCATGTGCGTAACCTCGCCACGCTGGGAGGCAATATAGTTACAGCCAGCCCGATCTCTGGTAGGCCGCAGCTAGGGAAACAGTGGCTGAGTGCCCTTGTCAGATCTTAACGTTATATGGGTAGCTGCTGGAGCTACTTTTCGGATAGCGATGCTGGAGTCCGGTGAAGTCAAATACAGAGATGTGAATCCTTTTTTGCCCTCGCAAGGCATGGCACGTATGCCCGTTAGGTTGCCGCGGATGATTTTTTTCTCTCATATCGTAAAGTTGATCTGAAAGATACGGAAGTTTTGGTCAGTGTCACGGTCCCGCTCCGCTACGACAGGTAGGGCTGTTGACGATTCTGAGTCAGGATTCCTGATCGGCTTGTTTTCAGTTTCCGAGTCTTCAAGCAGTCGCGTCGCCGTCAAGACGACCTCGCCATCGTGAATGTTGCCATTGCAGCTCGTTTGGTAGAAGGTGTAATTTCCGAAGCTCGCGTAGCTCTCGGTGGTATGGCCCCTACGACCGTAAGGCTACCTATTAGGATTTCTCTAGAGGAGAAATAAATCTCCGTTAGATTCGTGGATACCGAACCGAGAGATCATTGATTGGACATCGTGTTGGCTGTATCGAAACAACTCGGAGAATCATGGAAACTGCCAGCAGCGAATTCACTTTGGCTCCGGCGACCCCCGGAGGTGAGCGCATCGACCGAGTCGGAGTGTCTTGAGAAGTGGTTCTCCCCGCATTAGGGATGACTAAGTATCGCATGGCTGTGGCTCGGTCTCTCCTATACAAGTTCTGCATGGGACTACCTGCTGGCTCGACGGAGTATGTAGTGCTACTTCGTGGCTCGGGTACTGCTGAGGATTTAGATATGGGTTCGTACCCGTCCACAAGCGTGGACTTCAGTACTACACACCTTTGGGGGACCGTCTCGATCCAGTGGGCAAACCAGTGAATCATGGTGCAGCAGACAAACAGGCATAGCTATCTCATCACGCATGTCAAGAATTCTCGCGGTACTCAGGTCCGTGGGTGCGCCGACTATTTCGACGATATCGCCTGTAGCCAGAATGAGCTCTTTCTCGACTTTGTACTTTCTACGCAATCTACTGGCTCGGTTATCTCGATGGATTTCTCTGCGTGCCACGAAGTTAAGGGGTTCATTGGCGAGGTACTGACCCGGACTCTTTATGCTTCCGGGTAGCGCTGTGCTCAGGTTACTCACAAAGACTGTAATGGTGTCCGCTCGCTCGGCGCAATCGTCCACGACGAACCTCTCTTCGCTGTTTCCGATGCTGGCTCCAACGTATCACATTGTGGCCAAGTGAGATCCTGTATTAATCCTTCCCGAGCTGTCATTCCTCGCTTAGATTCTGGCAGTAGTCGTGGCGACCGATCGATACGCCGCTCGTGTTGCCGCTGCAGCTGTCCAGGTACAGGATGCAAATCGCTTGACAAACCGGCTCAGGACCGTATCATGCGAGTCGTGTCATTTCCTGTGTTATCAGGTGACCTACTCGGAAGACCGTCCGTCACCGATTGTCAGTATCGAAGATGCTATTCGCGAACGGAGCTTTCATCAACTCAAGTTCGTGGGTACGTAGTACTTACTCATCGGTCATCCCCCTTGGGTAACTGCTTCGTGAGTTAGGTGGTGGAGACTATGCATGCATCCACACAGTCCTGGATCTGGATTTGGGATCGAATATTGAAGAAGTTATCGAATTCTGTCGATCTCGACCCGACGAGTACGCTGTCGTCAGCGGTCGATTCAAAATGGCCGGCCAAGAACACTTCTACTTTGAGACTCAAGTGCATCCTCATTGCATATCTCGGCGCGTTGTACCAGTCTCTCCAGGGCGCTCGTGCTGTTCCTGCTGATGGAGGAACGGAGATTGAAGTATTTTCAGCCACGCAAAATCCGCATGAGACACAAATGAACATCGCTGAAGTCTTGGGCATACCCTTCAATAGGGTTGTTGTTCGTACCAAGAGAATTGGTAGTACTGCTACATAGCAGCCGAGCATCTCGTGCGTTTCCCATCTAGGTGGCGGCTTTGGAGGGAAAGAGACCCGCGCTTGCATCCTGGCTCCCTATGCAGCTCTAGCTGCTGTGAAATTCAATAGACCTGCTAGGTGAAGACTGTGAATGACTGGAGAGTTCCCTGGTAAAGATAGGTTCTCTGTGTAGGTTTCAAATGAATCGTGATGTCGACATGTCCACCAGCGGCAAGAGGCATTCTTTCCTGGCAGACTACACAATTGCTGTCCGGCGGGCGGACAAAGCGCTGATTGCCGCTGATGTTGATCTATATGTAGGTCAATTCGCCGGGGTATCACTTCGGAACAATGTGCTTCTTCCGTAGGCAAATGGGGGATATTCGCTTGATTTATCGGAGTGTGTGCTTGACAGAGGGATGATGCACATGACGAATGCATGTTTTGTGCGCAACGTTCGAGTCACTGGTAGGCATTCAGATTCCGCAGATCTGTGTCCACTGGTCGTTTCTTTATCAGGTCGCGTAGCGAAGACCAATATTGAGAGCAATACTGCCTTCCGCGGCTTCGGTGGGCCTCAAGGTCAAGCGGTTGCTGAAGTAGAGCTTCCCGCGCACGTTTCATTCGGTTCACTGTTAGTGTTCAGGCGATGTACGGGCATGCTGCCTGCGAACTGGGAATCACACGGGAAGAGTTAGAAGAGGCCAACTGGGCCCATGGTCCTGATGGCGAGAGGAGCCTGACTCACTATAATCACTACCTGGGGAACGAGGTGAGCTGAGAAGGGACTGCTTTTCCATGTAAGCCCGCTCGGTCGCCGGGACTAGCGTGCTGGACAGGTCCCATCGGAGGATATGTGGACCAAGCTTATGATGGATTCGGAATTCCATAAACGGCGTACTGATGTCGCCGAATTCAACAGCCGTAATCAGTATGTGAAGCGGGGCATCGCTGCAGTCCCAACACGGTATCATACGCATCGGCGTGTTTCCCAGAGTTATCATAGTTGCCAGGTACGGGGTATCGTTCGCCAGCTTACACTTGAACCAAGCCACATCACTCATTAGTTTGCAACAAGATGGATCAGTACAAGTGTGTCATGTCGGAGTAGAGATGGGGCAAGGTCTCAATACTAAGATATCTCAGGTGAGGCGTTTGAAATGGGAGCGTCTGTCGCGATGCGCTTGTGCAGGTTGTAGCCAGCGAGTTGGACATTCCTGTTGAAGCAGTTCACATCTCTGAGGCAAATACTAGCAGGGTCGCGAACGGAGTGGCTACTGCTGGCTCTGTCGGGACCGATCTAAATGCGAACGCCGCAGTCGATGCTTGCAGACAACTCAAGAAGGCTATCGAGGTGAGCATCGCGTGCACTATGGAGCGGCATTTGAGATGGATTCCGGGATTTCAGGAGTACATCGACTCCTCTATTGTGGACCCCCAGACAAGACTAGCGAATGCAGCAACAAAAGCATGGTAAGAAAATTGTCATTATCGAGCGTCTGCGCATGTTCGCTCCAAACCATGCCCAGGTTCGACCGTATATGTCTTAGTGCTGTAGGATATTATAGGACCCCCGAGATAACCGGAGCTGACTGGTCTAAAAAAGAGGTGAATTTATTGATCTATTATAACCTCGCTGGACAGGGAGCATCCAGGTCAATACATTCAACTCGTGCCCGTTTTATTACTATGCCTACGGAGCTGCTGCTTCGGAAGTTGAAGTCGATCTGCTCACCGGAGAGGCGCGAGTTGTACGCGTTCGCAGGCTGGATCCACCGAAAGTCTTGCGTCTCCAGTTACGCGTGGACATACTACATGATGTCGGGAAGTCTCTCAATCCTGCTATCGATATCGGGCAGATCGAGGGTGCATTCGTACAGGGCTACGGCCTTTTTTGTATGGAGGAGCCAATCTATGATCACCAAGGTCGCTTGGTCACTCGTGTAAACCGACTGACGGCGATGTCTATTTCTTCAACATCCGTTCTATAGGGACCTGGGATGTATAAAATCCCCTCGTTCGACGATATTCCTTGTGATTTTCGTGTCACACTGTACGACAGGACTAGCGGTCCTACTATTCGGGCAAGCAAGGGGGTGGGAGAGCCTCCACTATTCGGAGCCGCTAGTGTAAGTGAAGGAGAGTCCAGAACTCGCAACGGCGTGTCTTGCTGTGTCGATCTGTGAACGATCCTCAGGTATATTATGCTATCAAGGAGGCCATCTACGCCTCACGGGGGAATCGAAAACATTTCGAACTTGTCTGCCCTGTGACACCTGAGCGTATTCGCCTAGCCATATTCCTACCTGAGACTGGAGATGATGACTTCAGTAACGAACAACCAATTGAAGACAAGTGGCATGCCTTCGCTTGAAGTTTTTTTTGTCTATCGAAATTGACTGATCCATTTTAAAATGGATCAGATAGAATAGATCGAATTCTTTCTAAAGGATGACATTATTGTCTGTGTTCATTCGAAAAGAAGGCCATAGCCAATGAGCTAATTATGCCTCAACACCACAGTGTCCACAGCGGCACTGTTTTGGTTCACATTGTATCCTTCAGTACTCCGTGAATGCAATTATTTTTATCTTATACATGCACTTTTAGGGGATGAACTTTCTAGCGAGTTTGGTCGTGATACCCGAGTATTCAACATATTCATTATTCATGCACAGTATCGATGCCATGCCTGTTGAGTTTACATATGATCGGAGTTGGAGTAGTGGAGTAAGTGAAGTTGCTGGAAGACCCCCAGCGTCAGTTCATTCGGTCTCCCTCGTGATCCCGGGCTGAACGACACCTGTGGATACGTGAAGGATCTTTCCTTTCTCTATGATAGCTAATGGCGGTGGAGCTGCCCGGGGAGGTTCCAGCAGATCATCAGCAACTGCACGGTCTGAAACATAGCGAGGCCGATGATTCTGTCGAGAGTGAGTCGAACTTCGTGGCTGTTACAGAATGAGGTGATTTCTGGCGATTGACCGGATTCCCAAAAGAACCCACGAAAGGCCGCCAGGAGCAGAGAGAACCGGACAGCTACGGAATTCTCTCCTGAGCTGAGTCGATCCGAGCAGTTAGACTGGGATACATCAAGGAAAGGCTGGAGTGAAGCAGCCCGATATGGTTCGCGGATACCTTCTAGCTACAAGCTTTCAAAGTGTATGGTTGACCTGCTACTTCTAAGTCGCATTTCAGGATCTGTATGGTAATCAAAAGGTATTGGTATCGTGAGCACAACCACTTGTGCGTCTTCTCCGCTGTGTCACGATAGAGAAGCGGCGGGAGAGTAGTTGAGTCGAAGGTCATACGAGCGGTGTGAGCATTCTTGGCCGGGTGGTTACCATAGCGCTATTGGTAGCAGGAGTTATATCTGACTTGGTCATGGCGCATCCCTATCCGAGGCCTACGAGTTCGTGTATTGACGTATGGAAGTTAACTCCGTTGCTAACCGTCTCAGATGGCTCAGCGCGTGCGCCTTGCGCCTTGGCTCACGAGCTAGTTTACATAGGGTTTACTTGTCTTTTCAAGATACTGATTTCGCGACATACCGACTACAATCACTTCTTTGCGCATGATGTCCATCCATCCAGTATGATTCTGAACTCGGGAGCTGATAATTGCTCATATAATAGCGTATTCATCCCAATACGAGGATTCCGAGTTGGGATAACGGGAACCGGCATTTCGAATACGTTGTACTCTAAAAAAATGGGGCGACTCTGAATTTGTCTAGCACAGGGTATGCTAAGCAAGGTTGTGCATCTGTACTTGTCGAGTGCGTTATGAGGCGCAGCGATCCGCTGGACTCAATATAGAGACTATCTCTTTCGGAATATCAGTCCATCACTGTTCCCTATGGCGCGTCACGAATCTTTGCAAGCGAGTACAGTATTGATGACAGGGGACGTTAGCAAAGAATGCGCTGTCACAGCGCTGGCATCCCAGCCTGGATCGCCGAATGTGATCTGGACAGCGAGAGAAGACAAGTGCCTCATGGCCATTGACGTTCGTTCAAATGTTGTCGAAGTGAGTACGGGGAGTCATTCGCTGAAGTCTATTGGAGTCGCTTTTCGGACCAGCGTCACTGTAAACATGTCCTCCAGTGTGGTCGTCCTTCGTAGACTTCGTGCTAGTATTGAGCTGCACATGTCTCTTCGTTCAGAGTAGTATAACGTTGCCCGCTGCTGGTGAACTCGTGGGAAACTGCGTGGCATCGGCGAATTCTGTTTATGTTGGCGCGGAGTCTAACATTCTCAAATACGATGCCCGCAATGGCTTACTAGCAGCGGCGTACGTTCCGCAGAACCAGGTGAGCTCGACGCGGCCAACAGCGTGTAACATGCACATTGTATTTTCAGACAAACGAGGTTAATAACTTCTCCCTATCACCGAACGGTAGTCAACTGCTGGTCCCGACTGACGAAGGCGAATTGGTCTTCCTGGACGGCAGCACGCTCACGAAATGCAGGGAGCCAATACGCATCAACGAGGAGGAGCAGGTAACGCATAGACCGAAAAGGTCACCTTGCTTCCGGCCCTGATAGCTATGCTCTATTGCTTGGATGTTTTAGGTTTGTTCCTGTGTCACAGCGCGCACTTCCCTTTCCAATCCGAATACCACCATTGACGTTCTGGTGGGAGGTTTCGACTGCACTGTGCGGCGTTTCGCCTTGGAGAAGGAGAACTACCGAGCGCGCGGTATATTAGACGTCAGTAAAGCAGTTAAAGTGAGTAATTGAGATTCGGGCGTTCTGACCAACACATCTCTCGATTCAGGATGAAAACTCTGCGTTGCCTTTGGCATTCAATCCTCCCTTTGTGAACTGCATCGAATTCGATCCATTTGCGAACGACTCGGCCGTGGTCGGCACTGGTAACGGCTCCCTGTGTCTGATGAGGTTTCGAGGTGACTCGATCAACTTGAAGGATTTCAAAACGAGCATACTCAGGGTACGGTCATTAACCAGCGTTTGTTGGTCAGTTTCGTTCGAGGATGTATCGCTGCTCCTAAGCATCCATTGCCGCTCAGATACCCGCTCATAGTCAGTCCATAGCCGATTTGACCTGCCTGCGCGGCCGCCACGTAGCGTCTGTTGGCTCTGATGGACGCCTCGCACTGTCATCTCTAGTCGGGCAAACACCTAGGGTTCTACAGCATGTTGACCTGGGCTGGAAACCTTCCGCGGTTCGTGCTGTGGGAGAAGACGATTTGAGCGTTGTTGTCGGCGGAGTTGATGGTCAACTTCAATGCTTCCACATACGTCCATAGACAAGTTC